CCTTGTTTTTATATCTGATCCAGAGTTGAGGATATTCAGTAGATGATCCACTTTGCTCTGTTCTGGTTTCAGTGCCATCTCTAATGGTTTGGGACCATTGTCATCAGGTAAACAGTGAGTGGCCCAGTTTTCAAAAAATGAATCTCCACCATTTGCTGTTACCATCTGTAAGTGAATGAGATAAAGAAATTACAAACTTGGATTCTTTCAAAAAATGTGATACTATCTTGGGTCAAACATGTTTGTTTTTAGTACTAGTCAGTATCAGTCTAAAACAGGGAATTAGGATTTTGGTTTCCGTCTGTCCTTCCATGTGACATAATTTCTCAGATACACCTGGACGCACTGAGCTCAAGACATGATGCACACATCATTTAGTATTTCATTCTAATGACCTTTAACTGACTGATTTTGTTAACATGTCAGGAATGCTTGAGACAATTGTATTCAAACTTGGCATGAAACATCACACACAGTGAGATACTGAGTTAGTTTGTTTTGTCATTGCTATATGTTCATGTGTCCTTGAACCATTTCTCACATGTACCTTGATTTTGTTCAAAACTGATACAATGACCAGTGTCACCAACATTAGTTCTATAGTCTTACATATACAGTAAATGTGGTAATTAGTGCAGACATTTAATCTTACCTCCACTCCATACAGCTGTGCAATGTGACACAACATAAGAAAGGATATATCATAAAGTAATGCTCTAGTATAAGATGCCTTGCTACCTTCACCACTGGTCTGCTTAGCTACCTCATTAAACCTGAATAAAAACAGACAATATGTTTATAACATTAGAAGAATATATCATTAAGTAATGCCATAATAAACTTCACTAAGTAAAACAAGAATAAAGTTATTAGTTATGTTAGTAAGCGCACACAGCACACAGGACTGACAGCTTGACATGCACATTGGGTCTGGTCATTTTTCTAAACGTATTACACTGTATGCCGGAACAGGACATGCTCTATTTCATACTATGGAGTGAGCAGTCAGCTGAGAGAATCCAAATCTGTAATGTGAGGTGAACACATTCATCACTATATTGTCCTGGGTTGTTGTGTTAGTAAACAAATATACATGGGGTATAGTGCAAGGATGTACAGGCTACATATGTGTACATCACATAGACAGTTAATACAGGCAGTGAGATCTAACATATTGGTGCAACAATATTTTGTCTTTTTACAAGGCTTTAAAAATGCTGCATATTCAGCTGGAGGTCTTTTTATATTTTAGTTATATTTACTAGGTTGAACATTAAACAAAACATAGTTAAACTCTGGTGACCCTGTACTTTGCTTCATAATATTATTTCATAGTTTTATAACATGAATATACATTACCAGAATTAATTTTGAATTTTAATACAGTCATCAAACTATGAATATAATTTTTTACCATAGATACAGTACAGTTCTCTCGGAAGCTTTGGCTTCACTTCAGCTTCACCTTTGCTTCAGCATCGCATCATTATGGCATTGTTATGGCTTCAGCATCGCATCAATGTCGCGACATTAAAAAGTTAGGCGGTTACCGCTTCGCTTCATTGTGGCCTCATTATGGCGACAATGTGGCATCAGCATCGCTTCATCAAACACACTCATTTCGCCCAACCTCTCGCCCGCTTCTGCTTTTCAATCGCTCGCTTTTGCGACCGCTTGTAGAATTTCCGCTTTATTTTCGACTGTGCAAAAATTCTGACTATTAACAATTTTCTGGTTTTCATAGATCGCGGTTACTAGTTTAGTAACCGTGCATAGATGTTGAACAACCGTCAAAAGTTCAAATACTTTTTGTTTTAACTATCTATAATTATATGCACGCAATCTGACCCTTTGACCTAGATTTGGCTGGGATTGACTATTTTATTTTAAACAATATTCTGATGTGACGCACTGCTACAAAATGTATTTCAACAGAAGTACGACATGGTTGTCCAGGTTTCTTTTCCTGACTGTGTTGAGTTTACGATTTGTATAATTATTGTTATTTCCCCCAAGGAGAACACAAATCGAAGGACCATGAAGCTAAATAGAAGTCCCACGCATGGACTGAGTGAAAGAAAATATTTCTAAGGCTAAAATAAAACCTAATAGCTCTTTGTGTATTTGTCAATTTTGCATATATTTGGTCTGACAGTATGTTCGTAAATATCTGGAAAAATCACGTCTTTCGTTAATAATTTTATTTGTTTGAAATATCAACCGACCGTGTCCCAATAATTTGTTTGGAATATCGATGCCCGTTTCTCCAAATGGTCCCGACGTCCATTATTCAATACAATCAGCATTTATTTATCGTAATTCGTGGGGATCATGTCCCTGAATTTGCGGGCTGTAAAATCAAATAATTAAACAAGTACTATTCATTATATATATTTTTTACCTCGTGAAACTACAACACAGTGTAGAGTTGTTGCGGTGAAACAGTCGCCTTGAAATCGATGGAACTTCAATTATCCATTTCTCACCTTGAAATAAAATTAAAAAAATTCGAAGAGCATCGGGGGATATATTATTAACCAGTCTTACCAATCGCTAGCCTTATTTTATTCAAATCCATAAAATTCACGAGTTTTTCGACATTTGTTGGCAACTTCCGCGCTAAAAATGGTTGAAAATGTGGGTGTGGTTCTCTCGCAAAGTCCCGTTGATAATACGGACAAATATGGTTCTTTGACCTAGGTCGTGCTCCGATCAGGTGACTTTCAGCAAATCAATGATGTTGTAACAAAGCATATTTGACGCTAATTAAAGGGTCATCGTACTGTCAAATCTCCGGCGTCGATTCACTGTGCTGTGACAGGCTTCACAATCACTCACTGAAAAACAGCTGGGATTTGACCTCAGTTCAAAAAAGAAAAACTGGGCTGAGATACAATTCAGTTTTGCAAGTTGGGAAATAAGGTAAACCAGATTGGGGTCGATGATATTCAGTATCAAAGGACTTCTGTGTGTATAATGAGTTTCAAATTGTCACCAAATATTTACGCCTACAACTAAATGAATTTTTCTGAAGCCCAATAAATTATTTCTGCATGTCAAGTGCTATTCGATTTTTTACCAGGCCTGTGGCTCGTTTTTATTCGAAAATATTTTTTTGTGAGAATACTTTTAAAGTACGTATAGATTGAGCTCAGGTTACTGATCGTGACTTAATTTTGAAAATTGGATGTAAAATTTTACCAGACCGACGCCACCACAACCATCCAATCATAGTTGGAAATGTACGCACTTGTTTTGGAACTTTGTATCAAGATGACAGGCGACAACGCCGACGCACCAGGCGGCGTTTGCGTGTTTTGCAAGTATTGGTAGTCCGGGCATGAGATCGGACTCGGCTAAAACTAAACGAAACACAGAAAAATACCACCAAATTGAGGAATCTGAATCTGTTCTCTTACCAGCAAATAAAATGAATGAAAATAAGGTAATTTTATAACAAGAACAGTTTCATTTCCTATAGCAAATTGTGTTGTTTCCGAACGACGATTGCATCGTGTGATTTAAATTTATCACGTTTTTCCTTGCAGTCAATATGACACTCGTCACCTTGCAGATTGCAATGTACTTCATATAGTTTTTGGTACCCAATACTCTCAACATTAAATAATTAAACAAGATATTTTTTTAAATGTCATTTTACTCTTGGTCATATTATTTTATTCCCCTTACCGCTTTGAATTTCAAATCGATTACATATCGAACATCTGTACACATGTTTTTCTCTACTGCCTTTCCATGTGAAAATAATGAGGTCATACTCTTGTCACAATACTTTGAAGCTGATGCCATGTTGATGCCATGAGATTGTGAAGCTGAGGCCACAATGATACCACAAAATAAGAGAGGCGAACACAGCTTGAATTTTCAATGACGAGAAGCTGACGCCACAATGATGCGATGCTGAGGCGACAATGAAGCCATGCGTATGCGACAATGATGCCACAAAAGCCAAAGCTACCACGAGAACTGTACTGTATTTATATAAACAACGACAGACATTTTCCTTTAATATAAATTTCCTTTCCATCTTCAATGATACAGGCAAGGTAGAAATGTGTAAAAACATGTCATGTCCATTGAAGTTAGGAATATCTTACTTGATTAACTTGGCTGCAAATTTCTTGAGTTTACCAGTAGCTGCTGCAGCTGCAAGTATTAGCTCAAAGCTCTTACCAGACATCATGTGACCAAGCACACCAAGTAAAGCTTCTTGACTCTTGGAGTAGTCTGCATCTAATGTCTAACAGAGAAAACAAAATTTGTAATACTAATTGATTCACAGCTGATTTTAATATCTTTTAAAATTTACTATTTCTGATTTAAAGATTTGGATTTAACATCAAGTAATTCAGATTAAAATTGATATTAACAGGATAGTTTTGCAGAAAGTATAACCTAAATGACAAAGGTGGTGAAAATGTTTTATTACAGCAATTCCAGGCACTGATTTGACGCTGAAGTAGTGCTATATGTTGATAACTTACTACAATAGGTTACACACTTGTTTTCACATTTACAGAAGTTGTTACATATAATGCAGACAGCATGTCTGCAATTTGAAAGAAAGAAAGCTTCGCCCATAAAAGAGGCGGTACATTAGTTTTGAATTTCTCCTCCAATAAATGATCAAGACTCTCAACTTAGTTTCATACAATCTGCGTCACATGTTATTTCAGTGAAAGGCCGCATAAAGTGCTGGCTGACCGACTGATCATGACAGAATTATGGATCAAAGAGCATTATTACTACTATGGAAATATCCGTATCACGCCGATGTATATAACTAAAAGCTGCCTGTAACAAATGTCCTATGATGACTTCATCCAGTATATCAATAATGAAATTGAATACATAAGTAGAATAGGTGTTATTTGATTATTAGTTCTCGACGATGAGAACCAAAAGATTGATGTGCCACCAAATAATCCCTTAAAAAAGCTCATCACTAGCAACACATGATCACACGTCCAGAGAGGGTTGTCGCCGTACATACACAAGTAGTTTTTGTCAAATTTCCTGTCTGTAAATGCGCGTTCTCACTGTTTTATAATATTTGACATAGTCTATAATGTTGTCAGGTAATTTTTTAGTCGCGGATTGGTCGCTCTTACGCTTTTCTGGCAGGATACTCTCAGTGGTAACAAAACGTTTGACGATATTATAAGCTGTCACCACCATTTCGATCTCCAATCTCAGCAAATGACAGTCCACGAAAATACAAATCGACAACTCTTGTTCTCACTACAATTGGTTTTTTGACCCCTTGGCTTCTCCATCGCGGTGCTTAAACAACTTAGGCAAATGCTGATTAGCAAACACGAAATCAACACAATGACCGACCAAAAGTGAATGAAGGACAGACGCGCCTAGGTGTACCTGTTTTTGTAGCAAAAATAGAAAACATTGTGGGAAATATCTGTCAATCATTCCTCTGATTTGCCGCCGATGTTTATATTTTTAATTACAACTTATGTAAATTTGAAAACAAAGTGGATAACCTATTGTAGTAAGTTATCAACATCTAGCACAACTTCAGCGTCAAGTCAGTGCCTGGAATTGCTGTAAAAGTGCATATTTCAACAATTGAATATTGAAAACTGACAATATTCATGAATTTCTGTTTTAATACATTTGGGCTGTTTTGCTAATTATTAAACAAGCAGCCTTTCGGCTGAGATAGCTCCGCTGTTAGCAATGCACATTTTAATTAAAGAACAAAAGATATCATTAGAAAATGAACAATATGTATAGTATCAAAACAATCAGCGGTTTTCAACAAGAAATTGAAAATATCACTTTTTACCAAAAATGACAAAAATATTCACCAAAATTAGAGAATTAAAGATATAATTACAAAATGAACAAATCTGAGAGAGGTCTACATGTTGTACCTATATATGTAATATCAAAGCAATTGGACTTGCGGTTTTCAACAAGAAGTCGAAAATACCACTTTTTACCAAAAATATTCACCAAAATTAGAAAATTAAAGATGTCATTACAAAATGAACAAATCTGAGAGGTCCACATGTAGTACCTATATATGTAATATCAAAGCAATTGGACTTGCGGTATTCAACAAGTCGAAAATATCACTATTTACCAAAAATGACAAAAATATTCACCAAAATTAGAGAATTGAAGATATCATCATGAAATGAACAAATCTAAGAGAGGTCTACCCAAGGTACATATACGTCAAGTATCAAAGCATTCAGGCTTGTAGTTTTCAAGAATAAGTCGAAAAAGTAAAACACTGACACGGACGACAGAGGACGGACGGCGACGGACAATCACTCATATGATAAGCTCCGCTTGACAAAGTCAACAGCGGAGCTAAATATGCCTGACACTTTTTCATAGTGTCACATGACTTATGCAATTGGTCAGAATGCAGTTTGAAAATGAACTGTTATTATGCTATTGGTCAGAAGGCAGTTTTGAAATGATATGTTGTTATGCTATTGGTCAGAATGCACTTTGCAGATGAGCTGTTGTTATGCTATTATTCAGAAAGAGTTTGGAGAATGTTTTTTGTTAAGCTCTGCAAGGGTAGTTTGCAGATGAGGGTTTGTTAAGCTCAGCAAGGGTAGTGTGCAGATGAGGGTTTGTTAAGCTCTTCAAGGGTAGTTTACAGATGAGGGTTTGTTAAGCTATTCAAGGGCAGTTTGCAGATGAGGGTTTGTTAAGCTCTTCAAGGGTAGTTTCAGATGAGGGTTTGTTAAGCTCTTCAAGGGTAGTT